AGTTGGTGTGGAAAAACATACAAAGTAGATGATAAGCGATACCAAATTTTCATTTTAAGTAAACTGACAGAAGTTTTCATGGTTTTTATTACAACTCATTGAAGCATATTTCCTTATATTCCTGGAGTTTTTTGTTTTTTTATCTACAATTGTTTATCCCATATATCCTGTAAAAGGATGCTGCAGAAAAACATACAGAGTAGGTGATAGCAATTTTATTTTAAGCAAAGCTCAGGCAGAATTTTTCATGGTGTTGATTACAAACTCAATCAGTAGTAAGCAGGCAAGCACATGTTATATTAACTTGTGAAAAAGTGAATGTTGTCAAGGTCATTAGAACATGCTTGCCAAATAGCTGCAAGCTATTCTGTAGATCTGTGAAAAAATCCAATATGATACGTAATGTTTGTATTCCTCTTGCGCAAGTTTTAACCCTTAAAGGGCCATTCACAAATCAACTTTTTCACAAGTGTTTTTTTTTACCCCTCTCCTCTCTAAAAGAGTACAAATGTTGTTTTCTTTTACTCCACCCCTTCTCTAAAAGTATATGCCTACTGTATTTATTTAATAGATTTAATTGATTTAACAAAGTAATATAATATCATGCAGACTCCAAAAAGACTAAGAGAAGCCATGATTCAATATTTCATTCTTTTTGCGAACATCATCATTCCTGATGATAAAGAACGAAATATTGAATATATTATATTATCTAAATATAATCAGTGGACCACATGGTTTAATAGAGTAATTTTAATCAACATTTTCTTATATTGTATTTAGGAAATTGTACAATATATAATGCTCTTAATTGTAGTCTTTCATACTCTTTATAATGTTGATAAATTTGTGAATGGCCCTCAACAAGATAACTGATGAAAGAAAAATATTTGATTCCAAAAGATATGATATCTGGATGGACCACCCTTATAAAAGATTGTTGAAATAAATAAATAAATAAAATATAATCTCAAACTATAACCAACATTTTTTATACCTTGCAAACTTTATTTTTGACAGCTCGCCAACGAATAGTGAACAAAAATAAAATTTTGTTTTCTAATTTAGAATAATGTTTTTTGTCAAAACCATCTGTAGAAAATCAAAATAAATTTTATTGACAAATATAAAATGTGCGATTGAGATAAAAAAAAAAGTAATAGAGGCTGCCTTCAGGTTCTTACTTTGCATGCCGTCTTCTTATTACATGGATGAACAGTGTAATTGCGATTGTTGCAGTGAAAACAGTTCAAGTAAATTGGATTCATAATTTATATTTAGTTAATTGTGAGGCAAAGATTTCCTATTATAAAGAGATTTCAAGGTAGTGGAGGCATAATAAAATTGTAAAAAAAAAAATCTAAATTTTTTCTGAAATTTATTTTCTTGTGGCAATTTTTGCAAAGTTATCATTATGGCATGTTTGTGAAACCATGGTGAAACAAGGTATAAAAATATCTCTCCTTATCAATAAATTGCATTGAATAGCAAAAATTCAGCTGCTTTTGATTGGAAAAAATAAATTGTTCTAGGAACCTCTGACTTTTTAAATAGGGGTGTTAATTTCGTCTTATCTGGCTCATTTGCTACCTTGACCTGCACACTAATGGTTTGATTATGAGAAGCTGCCAGCTGGATATTTAACTATTTCCTTATTACCTTTTTGTAAAGGTTGGTGTGCAGATTATGTTTTTATGTGTGGTTGCATGTAGCATTTTATGTGCACTGTAGCCATGGCATTGAGGTATGGAGCCCACCATGGAGCCATACAGTACTAGTGCTACTACTGTTTCAACAAGTAGACAGTTGCCTGCTTGTGTACTATTTCAATGGCAAATCTGGGGTTACCAAATGGAGTGAAAGGAAACATACAAAAACCCCATAGTTTCTATCCCTACACCATAGGTCCTCAATTGCCATTCACACAGCTAACCTCCCTTGCACCTGTAACCTCCCTCGCACCCTAAACTCCCCACCCCTTTTTAAAAAATCCTGGTATTAATGCCATAGGCAATAAACTGTATTTATAATTAGTGACCATGTGTTGCCAGTGTACAGTACACCAAATGTATACAGGCAACTGTCTTAGGGACATTGGCTTCATTTAGTCATCAATTAGCTTTTCTTGGAAGACTCCGCATTTTAGTTGGTAGCCAATGATTACTTAAACCAGTTGGCATTTGTGTATAACCAGCAAGTTTTTAAAAGTATGAGGTGACTTTTATTTCATTGATGTCAAACGTCCACAACCAAAATTATGAAATTCCCCTATTAAACGTCACCCTTTATAGAGAATTGCAGGAAACTGTAACCTTGAATTTTCCAAGTGTATGACATTGAAGCACGCTACTGTTTTTAGGTAGTGTACTAGTGATTAATCTTGTAGAAGCCTTGCTCTGATGGTGTAATTTACTGATGGTTATGTCGTAGTTATCGAACAAGCGCTTGTTATGAGGTTGACCCCGATCATCTGAATGGGATCACCTGATAGAAAACAAGCGCTTCAATCCACAAGCTATAACACCGACAGTTGACTGGATTGGCAAGGCTCTCATCAGAAGGAACTTCATCATGCCACCTCGCTGGTTAATTGGCTTACCCCATGTTGATTGCAATAACATCTGTAGCTTGACCACGGTCTTGTTTTCGCGGCAATTCTGGGCCTGGTTGGTTCATAATATCAACCAAAGAATCTTTAAAATTAACTTTTTGAGTTGTTTTTCACTTTATAATTGCCAAAGGAAATCCAAATGAAACATTACAGGATAAATTGGCTTACCGCATGTTGATTGAAATAACATCTGTAGCTTGACCACGTTCTCGTTTTCGCGGCAATTCTGGGCCTGGATTGTTCATAATATTAACCAAAGAATCTTTAAAATTAATTTTTTGAGTTGTTTTTCACTTTATAATTGCTAAAGGAAATCCAAATGAAACATTACAGGATAAATTGGCTTACCGCATGTTGATTGCAATAACATCTGTAGCTTGACCACGGTCTCGTTTTTGCGGCAATTCTGGGCCAAGTTGGTTCATAATACAGTGCACCCTGCAATTCGAGACCCCTCTAATCCAAGGCCACTTTTCTAAAGACCCAAATAACAATCTTCAACCTTTAAACAAATTGGAGACCAACCCCGAGACCACCTCAAAATGGAGGGCGAACTGTATCAACCAAAGAATCTTTAAAATTACCTTTTTGCTTTTTTTTTACACTTTATAATTGTCAAAGGGAATCCAAATATATTTCATATAAATGTTCGTCTTAATTTTGGAAATCCGCAAATACCATGGTAGTTTGTTCGCTGTGTCTACAGATACAGCTGAACGAGATATATATCTATATACTGTAGCTATATAGCAAACACCGGTGAGATACATAATTCACTGCAATTCACACATTCTAGCAAGAACAACGTAATCATCATACATGTAGTAGCTCGGTTTAAAAGCTGCCGAAAACCTCATAAATAGGTAGTCTTTGGCTAGGTGAGAAAAAAAACACAAAGAGTCTGTTATTTTGCTTTTACGGAATGATCAACCAATAAATGAAGATGAAACAATTGGATTTTAAACACATTTATGCCTTTTATTTATCGATAGTTGGGATGGCCTACCCCAGGCAGGCCCTCCCCATTAAATTCAGCCTAGGCTAGGCCTAATGTAATTTCTGTTTTGTCTTTGTTTTATCAAAACATCATCATGAGATCAATAGAAATCGCATTTATCTTCAACAGTGTATAAGTACCATAACTATCCGTGTAACTCGCGCGTAGACATACGATAGAATTTGATACGACCTTGACTGGATTTCTCATTAACTTGCATCGGATAGTAGTGATCGTCGGAACATAGCTACAGTATATTATCTTTAAATTACAGGAGGGCCGTATGTAAAACAGTGTTACCATCTCGTCTGTATATGTTATCTTGCTTAAATATGTTTTAATAAATAAATAAACATTCTGGAAAATTGTTTTTACATTTGTTTTAGTCTTCAAAGTGGTCCATACTCATTATATTAAAACAATAGAATAAAAAATACCACAAGTCGGATAAAAAAAATGGAGATTTTACTCATCTTGAATACATGGTGTAGAACTTCCAATAGATATCTAGTGAGAGCTCATTTCATATTAATTTGGATGCTTGGAATCAATCAGTTGACTTCCCAGAAATCATTGCCAATGCATGCACAGCAAAATAGAATTATATGTATATGAGGCTCATTTAAACAGATTTCCGAATGTGGATTCTTGGCACTTGGATCCCTGCATTTATTATGTTAGTGGATTGGTTTCTTAACCCTCTTGATCCCGGATTATTTTTGTATGCAAACTCTTGATTCCCGGATTCTTTTGCAGTTTAACAAGTTTTCGTGCATTTTTGAGTGTATGCTTTCTAATTAATTTTTTAGAGCTTTCTGTATTTTACGAATCAACAGACGTTTACCATATAACTTTAACACAAAATTTATTGACAAAAAGGATCGACGTTTCGTGTCCATCATGGACGCATTCTCAAGATCAAGTGAACAAAAATAAATATAAGATAGTAAACCAAGTGTTTCTGTATTTTTTCCAAGTGTTTCTGTATTTTTTCCAAAAAATGTTTATAAATGCAAATGTTCCTTATAGAATAAGCTTTCACTTGGTGTATAATTCCTATTTTTAGGTTTTTTTTCTATGTGAAAAGTATGTGTAAAAAAGAGAGTACTAATAAACAAATAATAATAGAAAAATGCCTATAGGGAATAGGCCTAGCCTAGGCCTAAATCGTCGGCAAAATATGTTGATAATTGTGAACAACCCCTTAACATCATTACATTTTACCAAGTAATGCTACAGTAACAGTGGCATAGCAGGAACATGGGCAAGCAGCTTTGTAGGAAAAAAACTTGATATTCATTTATGTTTTATATTATTTGCTATATAAGTTCACAATTATTATTATTATTATTAATATTATTATTATTGATTTACACCAATACATTGAGAGGTTGTTCAGTCTGTTTGTCCCAAGATGAGTTTGGATCAAAATAAATCCTAAAGTAACTCTACAGTACTTACTACTGTGTTTATCACATACTGACTACATTCCCTGCGATGGCTCCAGAAATTTGCCGAAAAGGGGTCCGACATGTCCGGCAAGGGGTCCCAAACAAGGGGCCATCTAGAGCCTCGGAAGAATGATGTTTAGAGGTACAAATTCGTGGTTTATAAAAACTGTAGGTGGATGTCACCGAAAAAAAGTTTGGATTTTGATTGGTTTAACCACACAACCTTTTAGAAGGCCATAATAAGTTAAAAATTAATATTTGTGTACCGTCTGCTAATTGCCTTTAAATATAAAAGCGCTTTTTTCATTGTTTTACGGCGTTCTTTCACCCAGTGGGCCTATAGAAATGCCAATCATTTTGTGCATCGGTAGGCGAGTGGGGCGTTTAGCTGAAAGCTATGCAACAATGGGAACTGATGCTAAAATTAAACAAAGGGAAAATGATCAAGGCGGCATCCAGTTATATAAACTGGTTCGAAATTAAACATCCATCATATCCCAGATCGTTTTGCTACTGATACTACTGCTGTTTACTAAAGTTCCCGTAATGTCTCGCCGTCATCGCACTCCAAAGGAAGCACTAGTCTATTTTGATTTCGAAGAAAGTACTGCCGTAGTTAAATCGAAGAAACTGCATGGTGATGTTGTGATTGATAACATAGTTGATATTGTTTGTGATGGAAAGAAGTTGAAGTGCCACATCTTGGGTCTGTCTGATGATCCTGCCGAGTTGATCGCATTGGATGAACAGTTTTGGAAGAATGGTGGACTTGGTAAGATTTTTTTTTTTTTTTTTAAATCTATTTTCAATTTACTATACAGACCTATATTAAAATATTTGTTATTTTAATTCTGTTATCGATAATGCTGTTAGTTACTGTTTTGTATGTATAGCGATCTTTTTTCATTATAAATTATTCATTATTTTACTATATTTGCATACCATTTAAGAATTTGTTGATCAAACCATTGGCACTCTGCTGGACAACACGGCGGTTTATCGTAAGTTTACTTTTAAGTTGTATTAAAATCTACACAAGCATTGCCTTTCATTTGTGAGCTGTCATGGCAAAATGAGTCTTACTCATAATACTGTACAAAAGATGCAAAATATTCGTATATTATTATTATTATTATTATTATTATTATTATTATTATTATTAATATTATTATTATTATTATTACAGTAATTCGTATGTTTATTACTATTGTTATTAATTCGTATATTATTATTATTACAGTAAATCGTATGTTTATTTATAAATTTATTATCAATATTATTATCATTTTATCGTGTATTTATCATGTATATTATATCTCATTTTATCTTATTAACAGCTCGTAGTGACTGCAAATGCAATCAACTAGAGGATATTGTAGCCAGACAACAGAAGTTTTGCGAGGAGCTAATTGAAAGGCAGGAAACTATGTACATGGAGATGATAGCCAGACAAGAAAAGTTGTGGGAGGGAATGCTAAGCAGGCAACAACTGTTGGAGGAAAAAGTAGAGCAATTATTGGCAAGGTCGACTACACAGTCAGCCGCACCACAACCGCCAGCGCCGAAACCAGTATCGTCGCTGCTTCTTGCACCAACACCGAAGCTATACCGAATGCAGGTAGCATTGTAATGATTGGGGGTATGTGTCCCCTTAGTGACGAGCGATACCGTCGGTCGTTGGCTGGCAGTACGACTGCGACGTCATTTATTAGGCAGTTGGTTGACTGCATGTTCAGTGCAGACAAACTTAGCCAATGCAATTTAAACGGCACAGCCGTTGTAGTGCAGGGGGAGAAGATAGAGCGTGAGCCTCTCATCCCCAATAGGATGATGGCAATATTTAGGCAGGTGGAAATTGAGTTTCCAGGGTCAACTTCTAGGTGTGAAAGGGCCCTGAAGGAGGCGGTAAACGGCAAGTGCCGTGCTCATCGCTTCAACAAAAAACGGAGTCGTATGTAATCACGTGTTTATTGTGTAAAAAATGTGTACATACTGTAATTTAATTCAAAATTTTTTCAAATTAAACTATGTTCTAATACCAAAAAAATTGTTTCCTTTTATTTGTACTTTGCATTATTATGATTTATTTGAAGCGTGAAAGTGTTTGAATGTGTGCATGTTTTGCTGCATAACATTTTGTGAGATATGGTGTGTACGATAATAATAATAATAATAATAATAATAATAATAATAATAATAATAATAATAATAATATTTATTTATCATCTTGGTATTTTTATTCACATAATAAAATATATATATGCCTGCATAAAATAATACACCGTAGGCTAGTTGAGAAACTAAATTATTATTATACGTTTTTAAGATGAAAATCATACAATAGGATATAATGATGAGTTGGCCTAGGATGCAAAATTAGGATACAGAATTAAAGTAAAGCTTAATTTAAATTAAATAAACACTGGTATATTTATTATCATAGTATCTTTTATTCTCATATAATACATACTAGGCCTATATATTTTTTATAGGCCTACATAATTAAATACATTGTAGTAGTTGAGAAACTGAATTTTTTAAAGATGAAAATAATCCCACTACAAACTTAAAGACACGGAATTATTAACGTCATGAAAAGTTAAATTTGTCGACGACAGAAATAGGAGACAAGCATTCTGATTGCCAATCGTCTAAAAATCTGCGCGTATCGAAAACTTCCGATGCGCATCTAAAACAGTCCAGGTCAGTCACTAAAAATAGACAGTTGAGAATGTTGCATTCAGAACCAGTCTATTTATAGTGCCGGGGTCTGTCACTAAAAATAGAAAGTTGAGAATGTTGCATTCACAACCAGTCTATTTATAGTGCCGGGTCAGTTACTAGAAATAGACAGTTGAGAATGTTGCATTCACAACCAGTCTATTTATAGTGCCGGGGTCTGTCACTAAAAATAGAAAGTTGAGAATGTTGCATTCACAACCAGTCTATTTATAGTGCCGGGTCAGTTACTAAAAATAGACAGTTGAGAATTTTGCATTCACAACCAGTCTATTTATAGTCAAGGGAGGTCATATACTAAAAATAGAGTGTTGAACTGTGTGAAAATTCTTAGAGAGCCAAAAACGGAGACGAGAGTGAAAAAAATCTCAGGCAAGATGATGTAAGTAGGCCTTCTGTGTTAGCGATGTTCTTTAAATTTGCAGCAAATGGTGTGGTCTAAATGTTTCCGATATAGTTGTATGACCAGGCTTAATGATTTAAACTTGTATGCAAGACTTTCGCAAAGCGGGTAAACACTTGTATGCAAGATGTTCGCAAAGCGGGTAAACATGCGGGACGATGCATGCACTCGGCTGTATTAAAAGGGAGGAGCAAAGCCCAAACGGAATATTGGCATCCAAACGGTGTTTTCAGACGCGTTTTTGGTAGAACAATAGAAAACGCGTCTGGACGCAGATTTGTCGTTTGGAATAATTTGGCGATCGCGCCAGAAATTTGCCGACAAGGGGTCCGACATGTCCGGCAGGGGGTCCCAAACAAGGGGCCATCTAGAGCCTCGTTCAGATTTCTGGAATAAAAATACAGAGAGAGTTTTTATTGCTTAGTACTTAGTGCTTAGTACATTAGGGGTTGGTATCAAAATATTGTTTTTTGGATAAGCAAATTATTATTTTAATCCGAACAACTCATCGTAACATCAGACAACAGAGGTTCTTGGGGGGGGGGGGATGTCAAATTCCTTCCCTGCCACCCTACTGTCGTACTATAATGTACCATGTTTTGTAGCCATACATTTCTGTACCATGCAATGACCATAAAATACAAACTAGTGGTTCATTGATGAAGTGGTTCTGCACATACCTGTACCACATCTCAGGTTAATAAATGTGATTGAAATTTGATCTTTCAGATTACACCCCAATGATAGCACACCTTACCATTACTATGAACCTGATGATAAGACTGAATGTAGCTATTACAAAGTGAGTGAAGAGAGACTCACTTCTGGACACAAATTCATCACAGAAAAGGCAGTCTTTGCTCGCTGGGCTCAAAGCCACAATATTAACTTTCTTTATCCATCATGGAACAATTCAGTTTCAACTAATTCTACAAAAGCACTTGAGACTCCATTTTTAAAGCTGTTTCGTGAAGCAAAGGCTAATGGTACTTTACCGGAGATCGCCCAGAAGACAATAATTCGAAAGAAAATAGTGGAAGGACCACCAGATGAGAATGGAGTCCGAAGACCAATTGTTAAGAGAATCATCAAGAAGATAATTGTTAGAAGAAAAATACCAGTAGCAAAACCTAAGACTTGATGCAATGCAAAACAGTTATGTTCAACTGTAAACAATAAAACATTTCCAATTTACTGCTAGTTTAAATCTAATTGGAGATATGTTAAAATGGCTGACTAAAATGGAAAGCTTTACATCAGTTGCATAACTGCAGTTATAAAAAGGCATTCTCCTCATTCATGAAAAATGAAGGAGGATACATTAATACTGGTGGGTAGGAATATTAAAGATCCGGATACTGATTGTGGAGACCACATGCAAAGCACATAACAATATCATAGGTAATCTGCATGGACATCACACATTTCCCATGAGCTTCTTGTTTCAGGCAAATAATACCATAGACACTGTTCATGATAATTCATGATTTAAGTAAATTACAGGTTGCCAGACTAATACTGGTCAACATATTGCCTGTTCCCAGGTATGAGATTATTTCCGGCTTTGTAGGAAACAAGAATTAAACATTCGCTTGTTATCATGCTCTGCAAAATGGCGAATCAAAAAGAATTATGAGAGATATGTTACATATGCAAAGGATTATTAATTTTGTTTTGGTTCCTCACCATGTTAATGTGTTTTGATGTTGTGAATCATATGAGATGTACATCACATTTTATTTAAATGAATTTGAGTATTTTAATGCAGAACTTGCTACTAATGTTGTCTCACTTTAATTTTCATGGTGCTATTTTATCTTAAAACTGCTGAATACCAAACCTAGTTTATCTTTTGATTTTGATAAACTGTGCCTATTTTACTTGTGGTTTGTATCCTGTATTATGTAGATAATTAAGAAGCATGTTTTTATACATACAATAAGAATTTTAAGAGGAAAAACTTATTTTTTTACATATGTTTTTTACGTATAGAATCTAGTTGTAATAGATATTGAATACATGCTTATTTGTAGAATAATATATTTATTTGTGTAGTAAATATTATTTTTAAGTGATGCATGTTGCTGTTAATTGGTGCTACCATATTTAATTAGATTATAATTTGTTAATACTGTAGACCAGCTTAATCACATCTAATTTTATTTATAAAGTGCACATACATCTTCCTTATTTCCTTGTGTCTGTAGAATTCTGGTCATGTTATTAGGTACATTTACTAATACATTTTTAATATGTATTTTGTTATATTTTGATTTAAACATTATTCTTTTATTGGTGTTTTATATTTGCAATATCTGTATACTGACATTCAGTGGCGTATATAGATGTCTTGAAATGGGGTGCTGATGGGGGGCATGAAGGTTAAGGGGTGGCTCGATGATCAGTTGAGGGGCGCAAAATAAGGTGATTTTAGGTGATTTTTAACTACTTGACCATGATTTTTTTTGGGGGGGGGCGATTGGGGGTGGCGTGAGTAATTTCTCGAGGGGCGTGCGCCAACACCCCTCCCCCCATGCACCCCCTAGATATGCCACTGCTGACATTGTAGCATTTTGTTATTGTAATGTATTCAAAATCATTCTTAACCCTGTCCAGATTATGTCATGTCACATCCATATATGGCAAGATGTCATATCACACCCATATATGGCAAGATGTCATATCACACCCATATATATGGGCATGATGATGACGTAAGATGTCATATCACACCCATATATGGGTAAGGTGATGTCATGTCACACCCATATATGAGCAAGATGTCATATCACATCCATATATGGTTAAGGTGATGTCATATCACACCCACAATTAGGCAAATGATGTTGTATCACACCCATATATGTGCAAGATGATGGCATATCACATCCATATATGGGAGAGATAAGCAAATCACAGGTATGTGTGGCATAAATCCTGATAAGTTAAAATGGCCTTTATTGGTCTGTGCTTTTTGCTGTGAAGCAGCCAATTCATATTCTTGACAGCAATTTGACCTCTGAAAGGTCATTGTTTGTCAAAAAACCTGCGCCTATGACAATTGAAAAGCGGAGTTTCCTTCTTTCGTTCTGCCGGGTAAAATCAATTACTTTAGGTGACGTTTGTAGACTAACCTACTCGTACCAACGTCCGCATGTCGCGACGCTTGAGTACTATTCAGCGTTTTTATTATATTTCTAGGTTTCCTATTTCTACGTTTAATCGGCTCATGTCTCAGCCACAATATTTTGAGGCCAATATTATTTACGAACCATATATAGACAATGGGTCGTGCTCATATTACTTGTTATATTTTTATTATTCATTATTTTCACTTGACTCGCATAAATAATTTTGTTCGAAGAACATTTTATGCAGTTTTACTTCGCAGCACTTCACTTGCAATTTGCAATTTCTAGTTTATATTATAGTATCTGTTTTATTATGTGATTTGATATCCATATTAATCTAATGAATTTTTGAATTGCAAAGACTTATTATTAGCATTTGAAGACTTGTGGATCGATCAAATCAATCACTTGTACAGTAGTCTCAATCACTAATACATTGTGCTTACAGTCAAGACGTCTCTTTTGTATTCTGTATTAAAGGATAAATCTCTGCATAGAAATCATGCATCTAAATATAGATTTTTGTACTGTATTATTAGGTGGTGATTATTTTATGCAGATTTTCATCGTAAGTCTGTCTGTGGAGTTGTAAGTTGGTGGTTAAGATGTGTGACACCACGGATAAGCCTCATTTATAAAAACATTACAATAATATTTAATTTATTTAACAAGACCCATGAATATCAGCCAACCTTCTAGAATAAGATATATGGGTCACCAATTATAAAAACAATTTTGTATTTTGTTTGATTGCATTATCTTTACAATTAATAGTTAATTATATTTTTATTTATATATTCGCACATTTTTTTTTTATGATGTTGCATTTTTAAATAACTACGTATTGCACTGCTTTATTTAAAGGCGCTTATGTGTTTCTTCTTTTCAATAGTACCTTATATTATTGTAATCCATTTCAACCAGCTGATTCAGTCAAAGCATTTAACCAAGTAAATACATTTAACCTTGTTTAATCATAATCAGTTAACCCAGTTAATACATTTAGCCCAATCAATACAGGTAACCCATTGAAGACAATTATCCAGGCAATTCTGCCCAGTTTGTAAAGCACCATTAATAGTAAAATCATCAAAAGTAACTCGAAAGTAATAATAATAAAAAATATTAATAATAATTCGAAATAATACTGTT